GAAACCCCCCCCCCCACAGTCATATACTTAAGGACATTAAGTTGCACAAAGTAAGATATTGTGCTCATAAAAACTGCAATGCACATAAGTAGGAACATCAACCACTCACATACACTGGTGACCATGAACTTTTAGTCACAGTCAAAGAAATAAAAATATATTCACTATCATGAGTCTGGGTTACAGCCAGACTGCGATCAACATACACACTCTTGCCTTGACATATCGCTTCCAGCAGGGGTCACCCTTGCTCCCAAAGGCTGCTCTCCTACTGCCTTTAGGCAGGAAAGCAGAGAGCCTGATGCTGCCAAACTGACAAAATCTTTCTTCCGCTCTAGGGCACAAATTGCAAGAGCATCATTAAGATAAAGGCATCGGAGAAGAATCTGCCCAAAGGTTAATACTAGGAAGTGGCCTCCTTTGTCCAAAATAAATTCTGCCTATCTAAATTCCCAGGTGGAAGTTATTGATGGAAACCATTCTTCCAGGGACCAAGGCCAGGCACACCACATCCAAGAGTCAATGCCCTGAAGCCCACTGAGGGGGACCAGTAGGCTCCCTCTATCCGACATTATTCTTACCTGGTCCCCAGGACAGAGTGTGGCCAGGAGTGTCAAACTCTGCCAACACACGGATACCCCGAAGCCGTGCATATTCAATCACTTCTTTCACATCTTGTGCTGTGTAGACATGGGTGACAGGATTGTAGGACCCCTGAAAGGCAAGAGACACCCATAACAATCTCACTTCCTGAAGGCTAGCAGAGTAGAAGACACTCAAAATGCCTCCAGGACTCCCTGGATATCAGAAAATCTACCTACAGGTTTTTGTTGTTGTTGTTTTAATGTTTATTTATTTCGGAGACAGTGAGAGACAGAGCATGAGCGGGGGAGGGGCAGAGAGAGAGGGAGACACAGAATCCGAACCAAGCTCCAGGCTCTGAGCTGTCAGCACAGAGCCCGGCGCGGAGCTTGAACTCACAGACCACGAGATCACAACCTGAGCCGAAGTCGGACGCTCAACTGACTGAGCCACCCGGGCGCCCCAACCTACACAGCTCTTTGGTATCAGGGACTATCTCCAAGGACCTTTATCAGAATTTCCCACAAAGCTATCACATCTATTGCTTTATCTGAGTGTCAAAATGCCAGTGAGACAACAAGGTAGGTAACAATATAAACAAACAAACACCAGGAGAGATTATCTCCTAGTTGTCACAGTGAAAATTAATGCAAAGTTTGACTCAAACTTAGGTCTCCTGATTCCAAATCCAGTGCCCTTCCTCTAAGTCAGTATGTCTCTAAAACTGGCTGGTTAGGATGAGAGCCAGTGTCCTTGCCAGCAGGGCCATAGTCAGGCTCAGACATCAGCTCATAAACTTGGTCTTGGAGAAATTGAGACATACCTTTCTGGTGAGCTCTGGAAAAGTGAAGCTCTCATATGGGAAGGAAGAGTCATCGACCAGATGCCAGTGGAACACGTTGAATTTATTGTATGCCATGACGTCCTGTAGACCAGAGCACATGCTATGAGCCCACCACAGCTTCTCCACTTTTCCCAAGGTAGACATACAGGCAGGCTGCTCCACATACCTCAATAGGCCCAGCCTGCCCCAGCTTCTTGATAAGTGTTCATAGGGTCTATCTATCAAATCTTCCGACCAGGGAGTGCCTGCCATAGAGGGAAGACCTAGCATATTCCTTCTTCTGCCAAGGCACATCCGAAGATGGCTGACAGAGGCAGCGCCTCCTCTTTTTGAGATGAATTTTAGCCACACCGAAAGGATGGCTGAAACGATGTGGTACAGTGGTCTTCCAAAAGCACCACAGTACCTTGAAGACTAATACTTCTTCCTGCCATTTGTTTTAGGTTGTCTAACGTTTATCCAAACTGTGAAGTCTATTGTTGAATTTAGTAATCTCATAGCCTATAAACCTCAGAGCCAAGACTGACAGATGTGTCTACTGCTTTGATTCCATCAGAGGAGCAAAGGAAAAGGTAGATACATGAGTTGGATCAGCAACTGTAAGATAAGACTGCTCATGAAACTCAAAATAGGAACATCGCCAGCTATGGCTTTTGAGTATCTTTCCTGTGACTTTGTCCTAAGCTAAACTGCTATGTCAAAAAAACCAATTCCCCAAATCACCTTCTGCATTCCTAGAGATAACCTGGACATTGGTTGGTCCAGAGTAGCCAGTGGGATAGATTTAAAGCCTTTTTTTTTTTTTTTTTTT